TATATATATATTATATATATATATATATATATATCTATTATTATATATATATATCATACATACACACATATATATATATGATATATATTATATATACACACACACAAAAGTCTATATATATATATATATATATATATATATATATATATATATATATATATATATATATATATATGCATATATAGACATATACATGTGTATATATACATGCATATATGTCTATATGTGTGTGCGTATATACACTCACACACATATATATATGCAAGTATGTATACTCACGTATGTATATATATATATACTTATATATATATGTATGTATATATACATATATTTGTATATGTGTGTGTGTAAACAAGACATAGCAAGGGCGGATGGTACGTTTCACACCTCTCTCCCCAGCAGCTGCCTCTCCTCCTTGGGCGGACGCAGGTGCGCGCCCAGCTTTCTCTTATCGCACGTAAGTAAGCATCCACTGTCGAGGGGAGCCGCCGCATGAAAGGAGAGAGAGAGAGAGAGAGAGAGAGAGAGAGAGACGACAAGGGTTACACCTCAATAACAACTTTACAACTGGTCGTAGCTTAAAAATGTTCCTACAGTAGTATTAAAAAAAACCTAAATGAAGGTCCTGAAACACACATATATATGTATATACATTTATTTATATATACATATATATGTATATACATGTATTTATATATACATATATATGTATATACATGTATTTATATATACATATATATGTATATACATGTATTTATATATACATATATATGTATATACATGTATTTATATATACATATATATGTATATACATATGTATATATGTATATACATGTGTATATATGTATATACATGTGTTTATATGTATATACATGTGTATATATGTATATACATGTGTATATATGTATATATATGTGTATATATGTATATATACATATATATACGTATAAAAATGATCCCTCCAACCCGTCGCTCATTGTTCAAGGGGGACCTAGGAAACGGAGGCCGAGGTCCAATGTTGGGAATCAACTAATTCTTCTTCCCTTTTCCTTTTCTTTCTCCTCACCGCTTATCTTAACCGTTAACTCAGTTTTATCCCTTTTCGCCTCAATGTCTTATGATGCCGTACGACTTTTGATGTCTAGCATATCTGCTTTAACTATTAATTATTATATGTGTAGTATTTATAGGTATACATCTCTCTCTCTCTCTCTCTCTCTCGCTCGCTCTCGTTCTCACTTTCGCTCTCTCTATTGCTCTCGCTCTCTCTCTCTCTTGCTCTCGCTCTAGCTCTCGCTCTCACTTTCGCTCTCTCTATTGCTCTCGCTCCCTCTCTCGCTCTATCTCTCGCTCACTCCCTCAGTCTCGCTCTATCTCTCGCTCGCTCCCTCTCTCTCGCTCTCTATCTCTCTCGCACTCTCTATCTCTCTCTCTCTTTCTACAACAAATATTACTATCTCTTAACTTTTTTCAAATACACCTTTTTGTTAACTTCTTACTTCGCGTACTCACTATCTATCCTTAAAAAAACAAACCGCGTCCACTTTCCTCAAAGCCGAAGGCAAAACAACGCACATACGAACACACATACACATACTGAGCGCCGGTACTATTTTTAGCAACAGGAAAATCCATATATTTCTTTTTATTTCATCGGGTCATCATCCTCTTCCCCTGCTGTGTTCAGTTACATGTGTCTTGCTGTCCTGTTGAAGTTTCTTTTGCAAGCGTTATTCGATTGAAAAACAGAAAAAACGAAAAACGCGCCCAGAGTGAATGGCAGGCACTATAAGGAATTTAAATAGAGATAGAGAGATCAGTCCGCTGATTCTAAGTGTGATAAAAAGCTCGAATCCGGTGTGAACAGTTTATTTATAACACAGAGTAATGTCGAGAGTGCGAAAGTAAAATGAAAAAAACGTCCTTCGGTTGCTACAGGGATATTTCTGAGCCTCTAAATAGTAGACGATCATCTTCCTTATTCACAAAATAATAAAAAAAAAATGCGAAATCACCTTCCTTTAAAAATAGAAATAAAAAATAAAAAATAAAATATCCGCCACGCAACACATCGAAAGTTAAAAAAAAGGTTAATCAGCTGATATCGTTGTTGGTGTTGCTCGGGTATATGATTGTGTATATTGTTTAACCTGGAAGAAGAGGAAAATAATAAGGATGAGATAATTACCGTTAAAGGAAGTGTTGTAATTACCAAAGGAAGAATAAAACCGGAGAAGGATAATTAGCAAAATACCTGCCAGGTGGCAACACCGTTCTCCACGGACAATCTTCCTCCTGCCTTTCGTCGTTTTTTTTATTTATTATCTTCCTCTTCTCTTCCCCATTCTTCGCTCCATGATAGGCGGAAGGGGACGAGCATTATGGCGTCCTGCCGTCTTGCTTGTGGCATTGCTCTATATCACCTTCGAGTTGCTCTACGGAAATTATGACGTCACGCCCCCGGAGAGGAACGATGACGTCATGCGCCTGGAGAGAGACGATGACGTCACGCGGCTGGGCAAGAGCGATGACGTCATGCCGAGCGGTGTTGCCATTCCGACACGCCGGCTTTTGCCACAACGAGGCAAGTGTCGTTCCTTAATCAATTGGATCGTTTGCCTTAATTCGATTGTTTGCAGGTCCTTCAATACCAGTAACAATATATTCCTTGTATTTAATTGTATGACGTGTAGGGTGAAGGGAGTTAAATCATATCGTTTTTTTATTAAGCAGACAAAAAGTGATTTATTTCCATTTACGACGTGGAAATTATAAACACATGTTACTAATGGAAGGCAGAACCACGTAAAAACCTCTCGCTTAGTCAGCCACTTCGCATACATTTACGAAAGGTCATTTACGTAGAGGAATATGTAGAATAAATTGAACGTGTAAAAAAAAATATATATGTATGTATGTATATGTAAATTGTGAAACTGTTACGTAGAAAAAAATGAGAAAATATTTTAACCTATTTATCACAGAGAAAGAATATATTAGTATATATACTTTTAAAATAAATTAATTATTAAATGATTATAAGTAAACTCCGAATAAATATAAAGAAAATTAATACATTTTTTTTCCTTAATTATAAATAGACATAAATAAAACCGCATTAAATACAACATCAATTAGATAAACGAACAATCAAACAAACAAACAGTGCACAAACAATTAACGAACAGGAATATGAACACTTAACTAAATCATCCCGGCTCTCTCCACAGAAAGCAAGGGACAGAATCTCGGACTCCGGGAGACTGCATCTCAAGCCCTGAAGCTCGACCTTGAGAGACCTCTGGAGGCCGAAGATCCTCGAGTTATAACTTGGATTCGGGAGGAACACTTGCACCAGCCTTCCTCTCTGCCTTATTACCTCGAAATAGGCAAGAACGTCGATTTTACGAAGTTAGAATACTGGCAGAGAGTTCACGAGGGAATCATGCGAATGGCAGATGGGAAGGTAAGTGAAGGGGGGGGGCGAAGGGGGAGAGAGGACGGGAGGGAGATTTAGGTAGGGAAGGGGGGAGGGGAGAGAGAGATTGAGGTAGGGGAGAGGAGAGAGAGATTGGGGTAGGGAAGAGGGGAGAAGAGAGAGGGGTGGGTAGGTAGGAGGGAGAGGGAGAGGAGAAAGAGGGGGTAGGAGTGAGGGGGAGGGAGAGGAAAAAGGAAGGGTGTTAATTGGTGGAATTGGAGAATCAATTAATTTTGTCTATTCAGTTTCATTTCATTTGTTACGATGGTTGTTCTTGGTGTGACATTCTGTTTGTTTCATTTAGCTTCTGAATTACTTGTGTGCAAGGAATGGCCGGGGTTACCATCCACTGGCGGTGTGTGTGTGTGTGGGGGGGGGGGTGAACGCGGGTCAGCAAGATTGCTAGACGAGACCGCTACCACTGCACCGTACAGCAGAGAGGTAAGTGGGGAAAAGAGAGATGTGGGTGGGGAAGGGTAAAGGAGAGGGAGAGGGGAAGGGAAGAAGCTGAAAGGGAGATGGGTAAGAGGAGGGGAGACTGGGAAGGAGAAGTAGAGTCTAATCCCTTATTTGAACTTTGGACTAAAATCGCTTCTTTCCCGCCCCTCGCAGCGCGGCGGGTTCTTCCTGGAGGCGGGGGCGCTGGACGGCTACTACCAGTCCAACACGTTCTTCCTGGAGCGGGACTGGGGCTGGACCGGCCTCCTGGTGGAGCCCAACCCCGTGTTCTTCGAGGCGCTGCTCACGCGCCACAGGAGGGCGTGGGCCACGGACCTCTGCCTCGGGACCAAGCCTCATGCTTATAAGGTAGAACGAATAAGATGAACGGTGAAGGACTTTGTTCTTTCTTCTTCTGTTTGTGTTTGGGGGGGGGGGGGTGTATACTGTGAATACATATGTACATACATTAACATAATCTTACACACACACGAAAGATATGAATGAGAATGAATATCTTCACAATACAAGGGATGTATTTGACCGGAAGTACGTCTATTTACTATGTGTGCTTATTACGTATTAGTCAAAGCACAAGGGAGCGACATACTAAACCGAAGAACAATAATGCCATAATAATAACTCTTATCCTTGTCAATGAAAATTTCCCTTCCCTGTCAACATAATTTAATTCCAAGCAATTCCAGACAAAACTGAAAAACCTTCTTGCCCGACAGACAGAATTTTGGGTCCACACAGGCCCTGATCCTGAGCAGAGTC